ACTAAATAGACGTGTAGATACGTATTTATGAGTATGTATACAGGAGTGGGCAAAAGCAGGTTTGCGTAATACGGTAACGAATAAATAACACAAGAATGAACTCCTTTGCGTACTCACAGCTGCACACCTCCTTTTGCCAAGCCCGAGTATGAATTGTAGAGGAAGGTCTGGAGCAGAGCTGTGCAATAAAAACGTAACGTGAGCCACGTATATAATTTTAAACATTTTAGTGGCTACAGTCAGAGAGCACAAAGAAACAGGAGAAATTAATTTTAATAATGGATTTCTCATCTTACCCACTATATTCAAAATAGTATCATGTTGGCAGGTAATCGATGTAAAATGATTAGGGCGACAGTTCACATCCTTCCTTCCCCATCAGTCTGTGTTCTCTGCGCCCAGTGCACATCACAGTCGGGGCTTGCTCTGTGTCGAGTGCTGGTGATTCTTGTCTTGGACGTGCAGGTCTGGGAGGACACAACCTTTCCCCGGCCGTCACTGAAAGAGGAGAAATTGAGGGGTGGAAGGTGTGAACCAGGACTTTCAATTTTTTAAAACTCTTTTTCTAGTTTAATTTGAGTTTTTCACACCAGGCATGGATTTTATATTAACTTTGCGGTCTTTTTAAAAGCCATTACAAGTGAGGGGTGATGGGGGGGTGAAGGGAGAGGAGGGGGAATTACTTCTCAGAGTGGTTGCCAGGCCGGCCTGAGCTCATGTGGAAAGCATTCATAGGTGATAAAGGACTATCCAAACATGCTTGTTTATTTATGCTCCTCCTTCCTACCCAAAAGATCTTTCCTTTCGGGAGTAACAAAAGTGAAAAGTGAAAACAAAAAGAGAAAGAAAAACACAGGTGGGGCCTCCAGGGAGGCTGGAATGAGGCGGGGCTGGAGCCTGCACTGGCCCCCGGGCTCACCAGGCGGCCGGCTGCCCAGCACGGCTACACCCCCGATGGCCAGGCTGCCGTAGGCCACACTGGCAGCAGGGCCTTGGACTGGAACCGCCTTCCAGCACCTCCTGCACAGACACCCATGATTCCGAGGCCCCCCAGAAGCCATGCCTCCCCATCCTCCTTTCCCTCTTCCTCCTTGATTTCCAACACTCTCCATTCCAGCCAGACTGAACTCCTCACACCTCGTTAATTCTCAGTTCTCGCCTCTGGCTTTTGCTCATGCTGTTGCCTTTCACCCCTCACCTGTGCTCCCCGCCTGCCTCTTCGTCCCACCTGGACCCCTCCTTTCCAGCTCAACTACCCTTCCAACCCCTGTCACTGGCCCTCCATAGTCCTGTGCCTCCAAAATTTCCCTCTGCTGGTCTCCCCATTCAGATGAACATTTCTGAGGGCCAGCTGTGTACCAGGCACTGAGAGAAGCTGTCTTGGCAAAGAAGGCATCATATTCAGCTCTCAAGTACCTTCTGGGGGAATGGGACTCATTCACTCCTCGGTTGACTCACTGGGGTCTGGCCTCCGTTCCTCCCCATCCCTGCACTCAAACCAACCACCTCGCCCCAGCCTCTGCTCCTTCACTGCCCACCTCTTCCTTCCTTCCACCTCGCCCGGAGAGCATAAGCCTCCTACCTACCTTCTCCAGACTGGAGGCAAAGCTCCTCTATCCTGAGCATTGAGGACTGGGTGGATCTCCCTGGGTCCTCCTTGTGGACCGGGCAGGAGGGTGGGGCACGGTTCCCTCTGCCTGAGGACCCAGCTGAGCAGCCAGCGCTGCAGGCCTCTCACCGGGCACACACGTGAAGCGGGTGAGCCGGCCGTACCAGGCCGGTGGTAATGGGGCCTGGGCTGCAAGCTTCCCGTGATGCCCCACCCCTGCCTTTGGGGTCCTCTGCATCAGAGGTGATTGAACTATCACTGCAGCAATAAGGGCTTCGCTCTGCACACGGCGTTAACGCGCTCTGCTTGGCCTCCTCTTCCACAGCCTTACGAGCCAGTGTTATTTTTATTTCCGTCTCAGAGATGAGGAAGCCAACTTCTGTCCCCGTAGTGAGGATGATGGGAGATTATTGAGCCACAACTGGAGGCAAGAGGGAGGATGTGGGGGGGATGACAGGACAGTGAGTTAACCAAGGAGTGAATGAGTCTCATTCCCCCAGAAGGTCCTCCAGAAACACTCCCTCTCTCTTCCCGCCCCTTGTGGTTCCCCAGCCTCTTTTCCATTTCTAGCAGAGGTGACGTTGGAAGAGGAAGAAATGAAAATAAAGTACAGCTAACAGAAGGACCTAAAGGCACATCCTTGGTTCCACACCCGCACCCCTGCCCAACGAGGTGCCAGTGGCAGGGGCTGGGCCGGCCAGAGTGGAAGAAAGGCGAGGCTCTGCTGTTTTATTTTCTTTTTTAAATATATTTTATTCATTTTTTTTACAGAGAGGCAGGGAAAAAGATAGAGAGTTAGAAACATCGATGAGAGAGAGTCATCAATCAGCTGCCTCTTGCATGTCCCCTACTGGGGATGTGCTCGCAACCAAGGTACATGCCCTTGACCCGAATCAAACCTGGGACCCTTCAGTCTGCAGGCTGACGCTCTATCCACTGAGCCAAACCGGTTTCGGCAAGGCTCTCCTGTTTTATAGCAACCACCTTCCCGGGGCCTCCAAAGACCAGAGTCCATGTCCTCTGCACCCCACTGCAGTGCAGCAGAGGCCCCCGCCTGGCCTCCCCACCTGGGGCAGGCAGTATGTACGGACCCCCAAGGCCCCTTGGGCTTCCTATATGGATTCCATGCACTGCCTGGCCAGGAGCGGGCTAACTCCTCCCCAGCTCAGCCCCCGTCTCCCAGGCTGACAGCTGTCTCCAGACCTCGGCCCTCTCTCCGTCCTCCTTGCCCCAGGAGGGTCCTGAATGGACAGCGTGGCACACAGTTCCATGTACCCTGGAGCTTCCCAGCCTCACGCCTGACTCCTTATTACCCTGGCCTCCAGAGTCTAGCCCCAGGCCCAGTTCCCCAAGACGAAGATCCTTGGAATGCTACCGTGGCCTGTCCCTAGGGAGTCACTCATCCAGTGCAAAGATCTGGGCCCCTGCTGCAAAGCTTGCTCCTCTCCTCTGAGGAAACTCTCAGCCCGTCTCGCACGGCATCGGTTCTTACCACACCCGCTCCACCCTGATAGATCTCAGTACTGAAGGACATAAAATGTTCCAACGGGGATGGGTCCAAAACTCAGTCATGGGCAGCATTCACCAACAGAGCACACCTGTCCACAGCGCATAGCATCATCCCCGTGGTCCTCATACCCACTGGGCAGTGGCCATCTCCCAAGCCCCTCCATCCTCTCCTCCTCCGGCAGCGGGTCTCAACTCTGCAGGCTTGGCTGAGTTGGCCTGACTCCTCCCGTGAGCCCTCAGGGGCCCCATTAAATGCCCACCCAACCCCAGCTGCCCCAGCGGGGTGCTCACCTTGCCAGGCAGGTGCGCCCAGAAGCTGCCAGTGTATCTGGGAACAGTAGATTCTTCTCTGAGAAAAGGAGAGGTCACCCAGACCCTGTCACCATGCCAGGAGACCAGTGCGGTGGGCGGGGAATCAGGCAGGAGTGGCCCAGTGCTTCCCAGCAGAGGCCTCCCTCCCCGCCGCCTCCCCCCCCCCCCTTTGGAGTGTGGGAGCCTGTCCCTGTCTGTTGGCAAAGTCCAGCCGAGGTCAGGGAGTAGCCCAGGATCCGAGAAGTCAGGGGACTTGCCAGTTACGTCTGGATGGGAGGGGACAGAGAGGCGATAACCTGGGTGTAGGTGCAACTCCTGGTGCAGGAGAACGCCCTCCCTACAGTGCCCTCTGCTGGTGAGTGCCCTGCCCCAGCTAGAGGCTCTTGAAATGGCAGAGGATTAGAGAGGGGAACCTGAACCAGATCCCCTCAACTATACTGTGCACATGAACCACCTAAGGACCTTTTTAAAAGTACATGTTTATTGATTTTTTTCTTGGTGATAAAGGGAGAGGGATAGAGAGATGGAAACATTAATGAGAGAGAAACATCAGTGGGCTGCCTCCTGTACACCCATTACTGAGAATCAAGGCTGCAATCCGGGCATGTGCCCTGACCGGGAATTGAACCTACGACATCTTGGTTCATGGGTCAATGCTCAACCACTGAGCCACACCAGCCAGGCCCACCTAGGGATCTTGCTAAAATTCAGGTTCTGGTCCCATAGGTTGGGGATAGTGGGGGAGGGGGAGATTCTGCATCTCTAAGGAGCTCCCAGGTGCTGCCAGTGGGATGACAGAGAGAGGCACAGAGTGACATAGGGGCACAGAGAAGGTTAGTGAATTGCAATTAGCTGGTGGCATTGGGGCGAACCCATATCTGCTCCCTAGTCAGTGCTGCTCTTCCCCCCGCCCCCACCCATCCACAGTCTGTGCTGGCAGGGACTCAGGGAGAGCGGAACCTCAGGCCGTTTGCCACCGGAGTCCTTCCTGAGAAACTCTGTCTAGGGAAGATGGTGCCACTGGAATGAAAGCTCCTGTGAAAAGGGATGTTTTTAAAGCTATTTGCTGCTGTATCCTCAGCTCTTGGTGCAGCCTGACCCCGAGCAAGTGTTGCACAAAGACCCGCTGGCTGAATGAGTGGACCAGCTAAGAGAAAAGATGCATTTTTGATCCAGACTGCCAACACCGAAGCCAGGTGACCCACCTGCCAGCTAGGTCATCACAGGCCAGTAGCTCAACCTCTCTGAGCCCCTTGTCTGTCAAATGCAGACAATGTCTCTCTTGTGAGGGATGATCATTGTCATTATTGAGCTAATAAATCTATAGCGCTCAGCACAAAGCAGGTGCTCTGTGAGTGGTAACTGTTATCGCCATGGATTGGTCTCCTGCAGTTGAGAAACCATTGCAACCCCCCCCAAAACCACAGATATTATCTCCCCTAAAAAATAAGTAACTGCCGCTGCTTTCACCTCAGTTAATGATTCTCTAGCTTTTGACTGCAACTCCACCCCTCTGCTGCCTTCCTGGGCAGGGTGGGGCAGGGGCTGGGAGGAGGGAGGTGAGAGCGTGGGATAAACAGCTCCCAGGGTCCCCCAAGTCGAGAGGTGGTCAAAGGAAGGTGGAGAGCGGCCAGCCTGGAAGGAGACCTCACGCCTAAAGCACAAGCAAGGGGCAGTGAGTGATCAGAACGCTGTTGGGGATGGAGAGGGCAGGTGTCTGTCTTTCCCGGGAAGAGCTCTGTCTGAGCCACACGGAAGGCTGTCTACTCCTTGGAGTCACAAAGCTCTAAGGGCTTGTGGATGACTGGTCAAGCTTTACGTCCAAGCCAGGAAAAGTTCCGCTGACCAACAACTACAGCCAGGGGCTGTGTCCATGCATCATGAATTCATTTCCAAAAAGAACCCTTGGGGTCAATCTCAGTTACAGGAAGGTTCTAGAGACATCTGAGGGTCCCTTCCACCCCTGTGGACCCAGAGCTGGTTCACGGGATGCAGCTTGGGACCGATCTGTCTCAGGAGATCGGGCTCTCACAAAGCCAAAGCTTCAATCACCCACAAGTGGCCCCTCCAGAGGCCTCAGCCAAGCAGATCAGGGGCCCCCGGTCTGAGAGAGCCCTTCAGGGCCATGCAGGCAGCAACCTGGGCTCCTCAGCCAAAACCACCACCCTTGTCACTGGAGAAAGGCGGGCCACTGGGAGCCCTACTCTGCCCTTTTCCCCTCCCCCACCCACCTCTGCCTCTCACACATCATACATCATCGGGTACCCAGCCTGGGAGGTGCTGCCTGAGGTAAGGGGAACACAGGCCTGAGAATGAGGGTGCACTGGGAATGGTGGAGAGCAGGAGAAAAGAGGATGGGGGTGGGAGGGGGGTGGGCCTCCAACGTTGCAGAGAACAAAAGAAAACACAGAGAAACAGGGACATCAAGGCAGGAGATGAACAAGTAGAGAATGAGGAGCAAAAACAGATCAGTCAAAGGATGCCCAGGCAGGCAGCCTGGTCAGTCTTGTCCCCAGAACCTCCAGGATATGGTCAGGGCCCTTGACAGGAGAGTATGGAGCGGGCAGTCAGTCACCTCAGAATGCTGAGAATAGCCATCGGTTTTTCCCTTTCAATCCTGTCCATCATGGGGTAGGGAGGGATGGGGGGGGGGGGGGGCTGACATATCAGATGCAAATGAGATGACAGGGTGGGGCCTTGGTTGGGGGAGGGTCTGTTCATCATCCCATGTGGGGATGGCATCACAGCAACATGCAAATGAGCATGCAGCTTAATAAACAATCAGGGGGTTGTTTCCTTGTGAAGTCAGGCCACGGAAATCTGGGCGTGGGTGTTTGTGGCACAGAACCTCTGGAAGAGGATGGATGTAGGGACCCTCCCCCAGCTCCTGAGCGGAAGGTGAGACCTAAGGCTTCAGAGAAGAGATCCCACAGCGTCACTCTGCTGAGTGGCATTCAGGCCGGAGCTCAGGCTGGGCGGGCCCCGCATGGGCCAGTCTGGCACAGGAAGATAAGCCCGGCAGATGGGCCGGCCCACTGTGGACTAGAAAAGACCCTCAGGGATCTCAGGCTCCCACCTTCCAAATATGGTCCTCTCAGGCCAGTTGTGTCAGCTTGTTGAGTTCAGTCTAAGGCACTGTCCCCGTCGAGGGCCTGGCCAAGAGCCACCTGCACAAAATATGGTCATGCATGGGCCTGAGCTCCAGGATTCAGATCCACATTGCAGGAGAGGAGCTTTTAACTCAGAAGCCGTTATCAACACTGGACAGTGTCCTCCGAGCGCCTGATGAAAGGGTGGGAAAAACAAGCCCATGGAAACCAGAAGAGCAGCTGGGCAGTAGGGCTCCCGGGAGAAGGATGGGAGGTGGTCTAAGCAGGGGTGATGGCCTAGACCAGTGGTCGGCAAACCACAACTCGAGAGCCACATGCTCCTGCAGTGGCTCCTTGAGTTATTAGCAAAGGCCAGCTTAGGAGTACCCTACTTAAGTAAATAACAATGTACCTACCTATATAATTTAAGATTAAAAAGTTTGGCTCTCAAAAGAAATTTCAGTCATTGTACTGTTGATATTTGGCTCTGTTGACTAATGAGTTTGCCAACCACTGGCCTAGACCTCCTATGTAAGATGGGAGGAGGAGGCGCTCAGGCCAGGAATGGTGTCAGACGGAGGAGGAAGCAGATGAGGGACACAAGGAAAGGACTAAGGGGAAGGCTCACCGTTAGCATGTTCTCTGTCCCCTAGATTTTTGCCTCCTGGAGGAGAATGTGGCCTCAAGGGGCCATCTTTGTGGCCCTGCCCCTCCTGGGGCCCATCGTGGTCTGGCTCCTCGCCCCGCATAGGATGTCTGGTTGGTGTGACCACCTGAGGGAACTGCCCTGGTGCCCACCCTACAAAATCTTGCTGCTCGTGTGGACAGCCATCTACTCCATCATTGGGTGAGCACCCTTTTCTCATGCCCTGGGCTTGGTACCCATTGGGGTGGGAACAAGCCCCTATACCTGACCAGCAAAGGGATGGCACCCCAGCTTGCCTCTTATATGGGTCCCTCTACGCCTGCCTAGGATTCCAGCCAGTCCTCTCCAAGTCTCCCCAGCCTCACCCACCTCACCACGCCCAACTGTCCCCACCGTCTCCTCCCAGCCACCAAATGATGCCTAGACATACTTGCCCTCATTTCAGCCCACAAGGGGGTCTTTCTTTGTACGCAGGAGCTTTGAAGGCAGAGGGCTTCCTCCATTTGCCATGGAACATCCTCCCTGTGAGTTTTCCTGCCGCCATCTCTTCACAGCTATGCCTCCTACCTGGTGTGGAAGGACCTCGGAGGGGGCTTTGGGCGGCACCTGACCCTGCCTCTCGGCCTCTATGCTGTGCAGCTCGCCATCAGCTGGACTTCCCTGACCCTCTTTTTTGCAGCCTACTCCCCTGGTCTGGTAAGGTGCACAGAGCTCAGCAGTGGGAGCACTACCGAAGCAGGTCAATCAGGGGCAGGCAGTTCAGGTGGGCAGACTATGAGCTCCGGTGGAGTTCAAAAAGCCTCAGGAACTTGGCTCAGGGGGTCTAGGGTGCTACAGGAAGCACCTGGGTCTCAGGCCAGCATGCCTGACCACCCTGCCCCCTGCCCAGGCCCTGCTGCACCTGCTGCTGCTCTACGGGCTGGTGGTGACCATGGCGCTGATCTGGCACCCCATCAACAAGCTGGCCGCCTTGCTCCTGCTGCCCTACCTGGCCTGGCTCACTGTCTCTGCTTCCATCACCTACCGCCTGTGGAGGGACAGTCTTTGTCCAGGGCACCAGCCTCTGCCCAAGGGGGAAAAGAGCGACTGAGGCACCGGGGCGCAGGGAAGGAGGGGGAAGGCCAGGGAGGGGTGGAAGAGACTGCAGGCAGGCTGGGGGGGTGGGGGATGTGGGGAGTGGGAGGTGGCCAGGCATTGAGGAGTCCCTGAAGGTAATTCACCCCAATGTGGCCGCTGTCCTGGCTCCCTTGGTGCCAGTTTTTATTAGAATTGAGAGACATGGGAAAAAGGAAAGAAACTTATTTTATACTTAATATAAGTTAATAAATCTTATATTAATAAATATTAATTTAGTAATATCAATTAATAAAACCCTGAGACTAACTTTGGGGATATGATATGAAGGACATGTTTGAGCGAATGATGTCTAGGGCCACAGAGTGGAATAGAAGTGTGTGCATGTGTGTAAGTGTGCACATGTGAAGGAATGTATGAATGTATGTATGAGGAGGGTGACATGCCATCTCTACTTCACTCCCGTGCCCTCCCAAATCTGGCCCCAAAATGTAGACTTTGGTTTTTAATGACCTGAAAAACAAAATCTTTTTGAAAAGTTGAATAAAAGCAAAACAGAAAAGTAAAAAAGAATAATAATTGTACATGTCAAGTTTATATATTTTATTAAATATTAATTATATATTAGATTACATATCTCATAATAATAATTTTACTTAATAACTTATGTTAATTAGGATATTATATTAATTATGATCATTATATTAATGTCCATATCCTATATAATAAAAGCCTAATATGCTAAGCGTCCAACCATTCGTTAGACCATTCAACCAGTCCCTATGACATGCACTGATCACCAGGGGGCAGATGCTCCAACCAGTAGGTTAGCTTGCCACTGCGGTCTGGCCAATTGGGGCTGGGTGAGATGGACCAGACACGCCCTGGAACCCTCCTAGGGTTTCATCCCAGCCCCAATCATGCACCAGTGGGGTCCCTCAGCCTAGTCTGCACCCTCTTGCAATCTGGGACCCCTTGGGGGATGTTGGAGAGCCAGTTTTGGTTTCGGCCCAATCCCCACAGGCCAGGCTGAGGGATGCCACCAGTGCATGAATCCGTGCACCAGGCCTCTGGTTTAATATATAATTAAAGAGTTATAAGATCTATTATATATTACATTATACTAGAAGCCCGAGGCACAAAGATTCGTGCCAGAATGGGCCTTCCTTCCCCTGGCTGTGAGCATCGCTTTCACTCTGGCCAGAGCCACCTTTCCACCTTCCTATGCTGCTCAGAGGCCCAGAGCTGCAGGGGCGGGGCGGAATGCCTGCGTCATCACCATCTTTATTGGGTTAACTTGCATACTCACTCCTAATTGGCTGTAGGTGTCAATAAGCATGCTTATCTATCTATCATTAGGCAAGATATGCCATACTAAGGCCTTTTGTGATTAATATAATATTATAGATCATTTTTTTTCATATACTCATATTGTTAGTTTTTTACATTAGTTAATAACTATTATAATAAATAAATGTTTAAAAAAGAGACAGAGAAAGAAACAAGGGTGTGATGTGAGCATGGGGAAGCAAAAGAAAACCAGGAAGTATTCAACATGAAGCAAATGCTTAGTCTCAGAGATCACAGGCTTAAAGAAAAGGATAGATTAAAACCTAAAAAGAAACAAAAGAAAGATCCCAGTGCACTCAATGTAAGAGAAGTCCCCCAACATCCTTCTTGCTTATTCTTTCAATATAACACACAGCTAGGCCCACCTTACCACATCCTGGTTGATACCAATGTTTTCAACTTTTCCATTAAGGCCAAACTGGGCTTAGTGCAATTAATGATGGAGTGTCTCTATGCCAAGTGTATCCCTTGTATAACTGACTGTGTAATGGCTGGAACTGAGAAGTTGGAGCAGAAGTATCGAGTAGCTATAAGGATCACCAAGGATCCAAGATTTGAACGATTACCATGCGCACACAAAGGACCTTTGCAGATGACTGCTTAGTACAGAGAGTAACTCAGCACAAGTGTTATCTTGTGGCCACAGTTGACTGGGACCTTAAACAAAGAATCAGGAAGATCCCTGTACATTTCTAACCATAGGTACAACATTGAGCAGATACCAGATGATTATGGAGCCCCTCGGTTCTAATACTTAAAAGACAACATTTCTCTGCTTTCCTTCAAACAACTTTCTCTACTGCAGATTTACTAACCATGCTACAACATGCATTATTGCTCCACTCACACATTTGCTGTTATGAATTGAGAACAGTTAAATACACTCACTTTTTGGTAATGTTTTGGAAATGATACTGATGTTGTTTTGAAAATGATATTTTGTATCATTTAAAATTTTGTTATATCTTTTTATAAATCAGATGACTGCTGAGAGAGAGAGAGAGAGAGAGAAGTAAGGCTCTGGGGTGACGAGTGAATTCAATAGGAGCTTCTTATCCAGCCTTCTCTCTTGCTTTTCTCTTTCTACAACTTCTCATTGGCATTTTTATTTTTATCTTTCCCACCTCTTGTTTTCAAAGCCCTAATGGGAGTATGTGACTGCCCTGTGGCTATCTGCCCAAATCCTAAATAAGGCCCATGGAGAGGAGCCTTTAGGAACATTGCCCCTGCTCGCTAGGGATGGGCCTGAGCACTAGTGTTGTTAAACCTTCCTGGGGAGTGCAGGACCCTGAGAGTGTGTTCCTGAGCCATCTGGAAGGTTATTAAAAACACATATTTCTTGGACTGAACCAGAGATCTGGGAATCAGAACCTTGGGACTGGGCTTTGGGTATCTTCAGACTGAACGAGTGCCCAGCACTTTGGTCAGCTGCTTGCTACCATGTGAGAGCTCCAGACATGGAGGGAGCCTTGGGGCCCTGCTCCCTTTGACAACCTGTGTTTCTGTCACCTGGGTAACTATATCTTCTCAGAGGACATCACCATCTGTGGAGTCTGGCTCTTTCTGGAGCTCACCAAAGGAGAACAGGAGAGAAAGAGTCTGCACCCTCCCACCTCCACACACTGGACATGCTCTGCCCAGCAGGCAGGTTGGTCACCAGCACTCCTGGAGGGCACATGCAGTGTTCCCACCCCATCTTTGCATCTTCAGCCCCAGGGCAACACAGGGCACAACAGAGCATGTGGCCATACATCTTTGTTGATTGACTATTTGGTTGATTGGTTGATTGATTAAATGAAGACACTGTCCCATTAAAAGAAAATGCTTTACCTGCACCCCATCAACCATTACCCAACTCTGGACCAAATCGCCTCTCTTTGGGGAAGGGCTGGGCACTAATAGTTTTTGAAACTTCTCAGGTAATCCTAATGCGCAGCCAGACTGAGTACAGCTGCCACAGGGCATTGCTTCTCAAAGTGGCCAGGGACCTCCTAAGTCACTTGTTCAAGGCCTGGACTCCAGACCCACAGACTCAGATCATCAGGGGAAATGAGGGCCACAGTGTGGTTTGTAGTTCTGACCCGGGAAACCAACAGACCAGGGATTGGATACTGACTCTGTCATTTACTCACCGGTCACTGGTGCACCTTCACTGCCTGTGCTTTATTCTCCTCGTCTGTAACATGGGAACCTCCTCGAATTGTTGGGAAAAATAAATGAGATAACGATAGAAAGATGGATGACACAGAGGAAGTGCTTAACAAATGTTAGCTGTTCTAGGAGGGGAATCTCAGAGGCCACCAGTTTAAAAAGCACACACGGTTCTGAGTCACCAGACAATTGGATACCCACCTTGCTTTAAAACCCAACTGTACTCCCAAACTTCCTGGAGCCAGGAGGGAAAGTGCCTGTCCCTTACGTCTGGGACTGGCCTCACCAGAGCCAGACACACAAAATCCCTGGCCCCTTACCTTACACGTTCATGTGGACTGTGCCTTCGCCTCATTCACATTTTTAAAATATTTTATTGAGTTTCTATAGAGAGGAAGAGAGAGGGACAGAGAGTTAGAAACATCGATGGGAGAGAAACATCGATCGGCTGCCTCCTGCACATCCCCCAATGGGGATGTGTCCGCAACCAAGGTACATGCCCTTGACCGGAATCGAACTGGGACCCTTCAGTCTGCAGGCTGATGCTCTATCCACTGAGCCAAACTGGTTTCGGCCTCAATCATATTTTTAAAGCTGTTGTAGTTGAATGTATAACTCCACATATACATGTAACTGTTTTAAATGTATAAAGGTAATCTATAAAGATTGACTGAGAATGGTTTGGGAGCCACATTGAGTGGGCTCTTATCCTGCTTCTACTATTGCTGGGTGAGCTTAGACAAGTGACACCTTCAAGTATTTGTCATTATTACTATCATCGTCTCTTGTAAGCATTACAAATATGTGCTATCAAGTTTATTCATGGTACCAACTAAGTCTAGAAGTTAAACTCACCCTCAGGAAGATGCACCATGCCTACCGCATGACTTTGACCTCTCCAGGGTGAGCTCATCCACAAATTCAGGGGGCTGGAGGCCTCTAGTTTTAGGGACTTGGCCCTGGAAGGAAGCTTGATTTGGGCAGTGTCCCAAGCCCTGGGATGGCATGGCTATCTGGCATGGCATGAGCCAAACAAAAGGGCTTCCATGGCATGAGCCAAACAAAAGGGCTTCCAAGGCAGGATCCCAACCCCAACCTCTCATGCTCTGACCCCAAAGTCATCCTTAAAATCCTCGTCTGCACCAGCTCCTGGGTTCCTGGATGGGAGCCTCTATTCCCCAGTCTCCCGCCCACCTGGGCCTCTTTCTCTACCCACCTCCCATGCTGAACCTGACCTGGAACACGCTGCCCTCAGCCCTCCTCTCTAGTTACCTAGAGCTGTGCTTAAATAGGGTCAAAGCTGCCTTCTGTCCTTGCCAGATGTGTCCCAGGATTCTGCCATCCCAATCATGTGGGTGCTCTGTCCTTGGGCAGTGTTTTTCTGTTTGCCTCTGAGTGTCCACATGGTATCTAAAGAGGGCGGGGGAGACTCCTCTCCCATGTACAGCTGTCCCACCCAATGTCTGAAAGGTGGGGGAGTGGCACCAGGTAAAATAGGGGCAGACGGTCCCCTTCTAGTATATTATAGCCCCTCCTTTCCTCCCCTGAACCCTTCATTCCTCCTCCCTTTGCCAGTGTCTGCAGAATGGAAATGCCCAGAGGTCAGGTGAGGAGGTCAGACTGGTGGGGTTATGTGCAGGACAAAGGTTGGGGAGCTGAGAGGGGGCAGAGGGCAGGAGTGTTTTCTCTGTGCATCCCTGGCCTCTCCTGCCTGCGGGCAGGTAGAGGGGATGCTGTGGTAGAAGGTGAGACCCCACTTTGTGTTGTTAGGCCCGGGCCAGGGCTCCCAAGTCTGTCTTCCTTTGTGGTGGTGACCAGCCATTCTATCCCTTAGGGTCCCCCTGAATCCCAAGCCCCAGGTCAGTCTTCCCAGAGTTCCCCTTTCTTGCAGTTCCAGACAGTAAGCACAGGACTCTTTGGTTCTAAGGATTTACTGCTGACCCTTCACTGTGGCTCACAGTTACCCTTCCGAACACAGCTGGCTTTGGAGGGGGCACCTCGAATCTGGACTCCCTCTTTCATCGTCAGGAGTTCCCAGAGGCCCCTTCCCCTTCTGCTCCCAGTGACCCTTC